ACAGTATAACACAGAAGCTCACAACGCACGCATATTTACCCTTATGAACGTTGGCAGGCAAAATCTACCCCAATGAGATCCTCATGGTTGACGAAGTCATCAGAGACGTCTCGTTGTCGATGGGAACATCACCTATACCATGGAAAGCACAACGCTATTAAATCTTTAAAAATTTGCTCTCACAAGGAGTCAAACTCAGAACATGAGGTACTGCTAAGACTCTTATAACCACCGGTCCATAGGCTCTTTCGCGATCGTTGCACCTTATATGAATCAGAAATCGTTGCACCTTATTTGAATCAGAAACCTTGATAACAAATCCCTGTTTCTCTCTTATTGTCCACAAATTATATCTCAATTCTCGATGCATAATGTCTCCTTCTAATTAATTGTTATTGTCACCATCCTAGAAAAAATAATACAATTGTGGCGCCTACACCGTTAGAAGTGCACTATTTTTGGTACCGAGATAGGCAGACCAAAATGTTGGAACCATACGCATCATTGGCAGTCACAACCACATGCAATGCAGTTGGCACATCATATTTCTATTGACAGTGACTGTAGGCAGAAAGTACAAAACAATGCTTTAGTTGTCTCTTATATTAAAAAAAAGCTTTACAGCCTGTTCGCTTGTTGGTTTCAGCCAGCTCAAACCAACCAGCTAACAGTGTTTTCCTCTAAAAAAACCAGCACCAGCCAGCCCAAACCAGCATCAGCACCATCCAGCGAACAGGCCCTTAGTTTTCTTGTGAAGCTCACAAGATACATAAGACTGTCTCCAACAACGACAACCTAAACGCGGCACCTATTCCATCTTTGGGTCACGGCACAGGGGAAACGCGGCTCGTCCGCGCTTGCTCGCGTCGACACCGCTCGCCAACGACGGCAGCGCCGCCGCGCCCGTGCCGACCCCGCTCACCCCGCCACGACGCAGTCGCAACAGCAGCAGATCCACCACCGACGCGCGCCCCGACATGGAGCACTGGATCCCGCGCAGCAGGAGGCGTCCAACCCGTTGCCGTCGCCCCCGGTCCCCACACCCGCCGCAACCGCAAGCGGCGGCCGCGGCGTCCGCTACTGCACGTCCTCGTCCCCGGACCTCCTGCTCCTCCCCACCGACGCCGCCAAGATGCGCCGCTACTCCGCGCTGCCCAACGGCGGCCGCCAGGAGACGCTGGCCGACCGCGCGCACAGCTACCGGGGCGTCCTGCTTGTCGTCCTCACCCCACTCATGCTCGTCTCCCTCGTCCTCCTCCTCATGCCGCGCTCGCCAGCCACCACGGGCGTCGCCACGAGGTCCGGGCCCACGGGGGCTGACAAGTACGCTGTCTTCTCCTTCCGGTCGTGGTGGTGGGCCGGGCGTTGCGGGAGACGCAAACAGACCGAGCGAGGACACTTATTTGCCTTCTGCGTCGCCTCGGCCGCAAAATGGGTCATGCCATTGCCTACTCCGTTGGAGCGTGTATTTTTACCGGTAAAACACTGTGCGTCACGCATTTTGAGTATAGGTCGCGTTATGCGTACCCTCCTGGAGACAGTCTACGTTCCTGGAGACAGTCTAACGTTAAGACAAAGAATATCCGATTCTTTTGCCCCAAAAATCTTGACAACAAAAATGCACGTCCACACATGAATAGTTAACTTGTGACACCAGACAATGACAAGGAAAAAGAACCTAATTTTTTACTATTAGACTCTTTTTTCGAAGAAAATTTACGTTTGGCCCCGTGAGAGACTTAAAATCATCTTTGGACCCTGGGTCGACGTCATGAGTCCTGACACCGAGGTAACACATTTCGGCGCCACAAATATTGACGCCGAGATGCCTGGCCGTGCACTACAGGAATCCTAAATGATGTTGACGTGGTCGATACCTCGACGTCAGAATACATGGCGCCGAGTTCGATGCCGCAGATCTTGACGCCGAGCTCGGCGCCATATGTTAGCACCGACCAATTGCGGAATACACGGCCGCGAGGCGGACTGCGGCGTGCGGCTGCTGCATGGGTTATCGTTCGGCGCGGAGCACCACAAGGAAATTGCAATTGCAGTTTTGCTTGCAAGCAGTAATGAGCCACAGTTTTTTTTTTCTAAAAGGTCACGTCGCGTGGGGCGGTGGGTCCTCCTCCCCAACACGAGTTGAGAAACGGGCGTCGTGGACCTGGTTCTCACATCTCCCGTCAGATCCCGTCCGCAAAGCGTGAAAAGAAAGGAGGCGCCTTAGGGCATCAGCAGTGTATAGGATTGGCCCTGGTTCTATCCGTCGATTTGATGGCACTTGTTAAAAATGTGGCAATGTATCGAACCATCACCGGACCTATAAGTGGAGCCCACGACATTAAAAAAACACTGGTAGTAAGAGCGGCGTCCTATACTCCTGTGGGCGTGGCCAGAACGGCAGGAGAGAGAACGGTGGATGGGAGCGGGTTCGATCGATAGGAGCAGGTTCTTCACCGAACCAGCGACACAATGTATCGACCCGGCTCCATAAAAGATAGGACCGGTATCGAACCGCAGCAGCAGGCTCGAAGTCGAAAATGAAATTTATCTAAAGCCCCTTGACTACTGCATCTACTGTATCTACTGCATGATTTGACAACAGGGCTAGGTGTACACGATGCTACTGCTCAACAGCTGCTGAAAATGAAATGACCGATGCTGCAAAGGTGAAGGTGAAGTGAAGGGAGACTACTGTAGTGTGGTGTGTAGGAGCAGGCGTTGCCAATCAGACAGAGCAGCTACTACTACTACAGGTAGTGAGTGATGAAGCAATGCTACTGCACATACGGATACAGTACTGTGCGAACCAATAATCGATCTGTTTACTCCGATCAGCCACACCCACACCACAGGACAGGATCGTGTCTGCCATCAAGACGGACGCACGATCGATGACCGGCGAGTACTGCTCGTGCAGGTGCCTTGTAGTGCATCAGGACTTATGGCTACTGATGAACCAACACCAAGTGCCGTGCCGGAGCGGCCGCTGCACTGCACTGCACATCCATCTCTCTCGCATCGCATGCAAGTGATCGATCGAGCAACACACGCAGTTGTTGTTTTTTCTTTCTCTCTTTTTGATAACAGGTTAGTTACTGTATCATTCATTCCAGCTACGACCGGCCGGTAATATCCTCCCTCAGGCCTCACCAACAAATTGATCGGCAGGTGGTGGTGTGGGATAGATGCAGTAGTATTTGCAGGCTAAGACGGTCTCCAACAGCCTATACATAAGGGTATCTTGACCCAAAATGCATGATGCCCATTAAAAAAGTTCCCTCCAACAGGCTACGCAATCAGACTACGCATTTTGCGTGGGAGGAGAGAGGGAAGGCAAATAAGCGTCCTCCCGACGCACGATCCAATCTCTAGCGCGCGGCCACGGGGCGCAGCGGCGAGGAGACGACGGGCGGGCCGGGTGGCGTGCTGAGGTGCACCGGCAGCGCGGGTGCCTGCACCCCTGCTCCGGCCTCCTCCATGGCCGACGTCCGGCACACCTCTTCCTCCATGGATCCGGCGCAGGTAGCTTCACGAGTGCCTCCATGGCCGGCGCGACCGCAAGCTCCGCTGTTCCCTCCGCCGCATGAGGTCCCAGGTCTGACCGCTGCTCCTCTTCTTCCAGCCACTGCTCCCCAATCCCCTTCCAGCCGCTGCTCCCCCATCTCCGGTGGCATGTCGGCGCTTCTCCGCTTGTGCATGCTACGTGCGGCGGCGCATCCTGCTGGAGCCCCCCTCCCCTCTCCCTCCCACATCCGACGAGATCTGCGCACCACTTCGGCAAGCACTGGAGCGGCAGGAGCGGACGCGCTCGACTCCGATGAACAGGCGCCGGTCGTGCTCCACTTCGGCAAACCGCGCGGTCCTGGTGGCGCGCGGTCCCTGGCCGACGGGAATCCGACCCCGACCCTGAGGTGCACGTGCGGCGGCGCGGGCAGGGAGAGGGAAGCAGGAAGAGTGGAGGAGGAGGAGGAAAGGGAAAGAAGAAGAGGGAGGGCAGCGGCGGCGGCTTCGAGGTCCGGCGGTCGCGCGGGGCAGAGGAGGCTTCGGCAGCGGCGGCGCTAGGGACCTCGGCGGGTAGAGCCGAGTGCGGCTCCGGCTTCTCGAGTTTTGGGTACGCTATTGGAGAAGATAAGATTTGGGTGCGTGACCTTGTTGTCGTACGTGACCTAAAACCTGGAATGGGTGTTGTGTTTGGGTATGGATTGTTGGAGATAGTCTAACGAAGGCGGGCGGGCATCTACTGCAGTACGAGGGCAGGCATCAGTGTGGAAACACCACATGTGCCATTGCATGGGTACCTGAATTCAAGTATGCCGTACAGAACGTGGTGCTCCGCGCCGAACGATAACCCACAGTGTGCGCTGCTCCATCACGTCACGTCGCACTCAGCCTCGCGGCGCGGCGCCAAACAGCTGAAAGCCAGCCCGTCACATACTCACAGTGCGAGGATGGCTTACGCTGCGAACCCAGCCACGCGTCCCGAGGCAGCAGCCGCACGCCGCAGTTCGCAGTCCGCCTCGCGGCCGTGTCTTCCGCACTTAACAGGTCGGCGCCAAGATTTGCGGCGTTGAGCTCGGCACCATGTATTCTGGCACCGAGCTCGGCCACGTCAACGTCACCTAGGATTCTCTGCAGTGTACGGCCAGCGCCTCGGTGCCAAGATCTGTGGCGTCGAGACGTGTTACCTCGGCGCTAGGACTCATGGCGCCGACCCACAGGGTCTAAAGATGAGTTTAAGTCTTTCAGAGGTCAAACATAATTTTTGTTCGAAAAAATGGTTAAATAGTAAAAAATTAGGGAAAAAGAACATGTTGCATTGAGCCGTTCAGAAGGATCCGACCGTCTCAAAAACCAACGGTAAGATGGGACAGGGAGAGATCGACAGTTTTTTCCATTTGCTGCAAGCCTGCAAGCTTGCAACTCTGAAGTTTCAGGCAAATTCTTCACCCCATCTGGGCTCTCCTTTCCAGCAACGTAGCCTATAGACCTAGAGAGTAATGGCGGAGAACGGCGTTCAGCAACACCTGTTACATGACGGCGACCGTTCTAAGATGCCGCCGCCGGGAGTGGCGAGAAGGTTCCGGCGCTGCCAGACGGCGCCGTCTCACAACGCCGAGCAAGGATCCATTCTCCTGAGGCAGAACATGAGTCGGAAGGGCGCCAGCGGCGCCTTTTGCCGCCGGTGCCGCCAATGGGCTGATCACCGGTGCGCGGCCGAGGTTCTGGCTCGTGGGCATCCTCCTGCTCGCGTACCTCCTCGCCGGGACCGCCGCGTTCTACCTCGCCATGGACGACATGTCCGGTGACCGCAGCGGCAACCTCGCGCTGGACGCGCTCTACTTCTGCGTGGTCACAATGACCACCGTCGGGTACGATGACATCGTCCCGTCCAGCGACGTCGCCAAGCTGCTGGCCTGCGTCTTCGCCTTCGCCGGCGTGGCCCTGGTCGGAGCCTTCCTTAGCAAGGCCGCCGACTACCTTGTCAAGAAGCAAGGCGCTCGTCTTCCGCGCGGTGCACCTTAACCACGCCGACGACCCCAAGTCGCTGCGGGACATGGAGGCCAGCAAGGTCCCTTACAAGCTCTACACCGCCACCGGCTTCCTTGCCGTAGTCCTCGCGTCCGGGATGGCGTTCCTGATGAAGGTCAAAGGGATGCGCCTCGTGGACGCCTTCTACTGTGTGTGCGCGACGGTAACCACGCTTGGGTACGGCGACCGGAGCTTCTCGTCCACGGCCGGGCGCGCGTTCGCGGCTGCGTGGATCACCGTGAGCACGTTGGTGGTGGCGCTCTTCTTCCTGTACGCGGCGGAGCTGGCCGCGGAGCGGCGGCAGAGGGAGCTGGCGCATTGGGTGCTCACTCGGCGGACTACCAGCATGGACCTCGAGGCGGCGGACCTCGACGGCGACCACAGGGTCAGCGCCGCAGAGTTCGCGTTGTACAAGCTCAAGGAGCTGGGGAAGATCAGCCAGGAGGAGATCGCAGAGTCCCTGGAGGAGTTCGACAAGCTCGACGTCGACCACTCTGGCACCCTCTCGTCGCACGACCTGGCCGTCGCACAGCCCGGATAGACCGGCAATCACCGGGAGACGGGAGCCACTGACACGCAGCAAGGTTCTGTGGCCAGGTGCGCTCCTTCCGCAGGATAAGCTCTGCGCTCAGCTTTCAGATGGGCTACCATTTTTTTTAGGCTCTGCGCTCAGCTCTGTAACACTAGTTAGCTAAGATAAAGACAGCACTGGTGAATTTGGTACAGGCAAATTTGGATCAAGGCCATGTTTAGTTCCCCATTTTTCAGAATTTGGCACTATGCAAAAAGAAGATTGTCTGTCACATCAAACTTGCGGTACATGGAGTACTAAATGTTGACGAAATCAAAAACTAATTGCACAGTTTAGTTGTACTTTGCGAGACGAACGTTTTGAGCCGAATTAGTCAACGTTTAGACAATTATTACCAAATAAAAACAAAACAACACAGTGTTACTACAGTGAATCGGCCGAACTAAACGCGGCCCAACACAAAACAAGAAAAGAAGGCCCATGGACAAATGTCAAAACCCGGCCGGAAGGTACACAACATGATTGCGTAAATAAAAGACAGTAGAAAACGAAGGAGGCCATGTCATATGTATTTTGATCTTGTTCCTAGAATAGCCCGTAAATGCGTATGTTCACCTCCGAGTGCCCAATCCCAGTGGCCTCAGGCTCGTCTTGTGTTGGTGTGGGCGGTGGTGACACCGTAATAGTAGTAGGTCCTGGCGGCGGCTTGATCGAAGCTTGAACCTTGCTGTCTTTGTCGATGGGGAAAGGCCAGCGTGTTCCACAGTCAGCCACACGACGGTTGTGAGCTCGCCCCCATTGCTGAGGTGTTTGGCATGGGACTCTCGACTGCACCGGTAGCTTGAGCAGAGCAGCATCTCGACCCACACGTTGAAGATGGCTTGCAACAAGTCCAATCCCGGAGTCTCAGTCTCCTCCATGCGGAGAAGTTCATCTGCAAGTTTACTCCCGAGAGGAATGTAACTTTTAATGCTGCCTGTATTCATCAGATTTTGCTGATTGGCTGTTTTGGCACTTGAGGGGACTCCGTTGGCGTTGGGTTCACCTTCATCTTCTAGAGCTGCATCGACGATGGAGTAATCTCCACACAAGATGCTTGCGAGCATTTCCTCTCCTTGTGACAGCCTAGATGAGCAAGGATGACCATGCCACCTTAACAATCTCTTGAGCAAACCTAGGATGATGATGTCCCAGAGGCTACGCCGAGGTCTTGATCTGCACCGCCTACTCCGGTTCCGGTAGTCACTCGGTAATCGGAATAAATCCTAGCAGGTCAGTTTGTACAAGCTGCGAAGAGCAAGGCCAGGAAGCATGTCAGGGCGAAATGCGAGGAGGAACATCATGTAGCTTGACAGTGTCCCGATTGCCTTCACATATGGCATTGCAGTTTCAGCCTTGGCTTTGCTGGACTTGAAGAGGAAAACATGGGTGGCAATATGCCACGTGAGGATGCCCTGTTGGAGTTCGTCGCCAAGACTCCAGCGGAGATCCATGCGTCTTAGCCCCTCTAGCGCCGCTTCTCCCCTCTGCGTCCTGAACCTGTCCAGTTTGGCCATCGAATCTTTCACAATTTCTTGATCGACCTTTTCGTCGTCGTTGTGTTTCTTGCGTTGTTGATCCAGCAACGTCTTCTTTGTACCCTTGATATCTTCCAGCATCTCCTTTACACGCTCGAACAGCAGCCTCTTGACACGTTCCCGACCAATTTATAAGCAAGTATAAAAGTAATCATCGGAGTGATCAAAACGTAATACTTGAACCCATATAAACCCGGTAGTCAACTGAAACCACAAAGAATTTTAAACCAACTTGCATACAAACAAGATCGTACATGATTCAACGTAACGAGACACATGTTACATCAATTTCACAAGTATCTCATATATCGGAGTTCACATAGTTATTATAACACAAGTTCACAAATAGTGAAAGCAAAGTAGTTGAAACCCTCACACACACTTAGTTCAAATACAAGCCAGTTCCATAGTCATATCCAGCAAAAACATCATGATAAAATAACATAGGAGATCATGCCCATGATCTAGTCTTCATCACCAGCAGGGTGGAGACAATAATTGCAGTGACCATTTAAAGCACGTCATGTGCAACAAGAGAGAATAAACCATGAGTACGAGAACGTACTCAGCTAGACTTACTCATCGTAAACCAAAAATAAATGACACCAAAGAGTATGCAAGGCTTTATCGGTGGATCTTGCTTGACAACTATTTTGCATAAAAGCTTTAATGATACAAGAGCATAATTTAAATTATTAGTTAAGCAGCAAGTTACCAATATTAAACCTGTTATCTAGATTAGCACATGTACTAGAGCAAGCACTTGATTAGGATCCAAACATTAGTAACCATATCCGGTATAATGTTGTAACATCATCATCATTATTATAACCATTAAGTTCAATTAAGTATCTCTACGTTGCCGCTGCTCAGTCAAGTTCTCACTATCCGGGAGAGAAGGCGACTCGAATCGATTCCTACCCAGCTGGGGAAATTATTCCTAACACACACCCAAGCAACCTGATCAGTGGTAGCCTCGGGTCACTTTTAGTACAGCTCAGGAATAAATTCGTGGGTCCAAGCAGCACCGCACTCTCAGAGAATCCACTCTGCCAGGACATCAATCTGCCCTTTGGACTTACGCCAATGGCTCCCCGCACATCCTTACTACCGCCAGAGTGCGCACTTTCACTTCCCGGCTTTCGGCCTGAGTTAAGCTACTCAGCTTTGCGGTCAGAATGAGTTATTCGGCCAACTAAGTGATAGGCATGCGTTCAATATGACATGAGGACGTACAGCAAGTCAGTCCTTAACCGACACAGACGGGGATAGATCCACACCCAAGACCTCCTTGCCTTGTTGCTTCTCTATCGACATCCTGCCTGGTCTCCATTCATTATTAACACATGGTTATTTCCACGATAGCAAATATAGCCAATCGTGATCAGATATCATCCTATCTTGCAGGTGACACGAAATCACCTGACTTTATCGGTCTAAGCATGGCTAAGCATTGATTCGCTCCTGGACCTAAATAGGATTCAGTGTACATTCACTGGACAAGGAATAGATAGGTATGCAACAAGTGTTTGCATCCAACTCCTATAACTTAATGCATCAAACATGTAAAGATACTCAAAGTAATATTTTTAAAACATAGGAGACTTAGAATGCTCCGGGGCTTGCCTTTTAGAAAAGAGGAAGGTTGGTGATCAGGATACTCAAGAACTTCTTCTTCGTTGACTCCTCCTTCTGGGGCCTGCATCTCCTGCTCCTGAACTTGCTGCGGCTCCTTCAGAAGTCCTTGTTCGAATTCTAGAAGAGTGACTCCCTACGGAACACCTATTGCATACATATGTATAACATAAGAGTCATGAATGCAAAAGAGATGGAAGGTGATGATGAAATATAAAGCCATGTATAGGTGGACACATGAATGACACGATGATACAAGATTAGGATCTACTTTACTGAGTAGGTGCATATCTCTTCTTGAAAACAAGAACTACACACTCAACAAGCTCTAACAACCTAAGATAAAGTTGTTCATCTTCAGTAAGAGGTCTAGTACCTGCAGCTAACAACTTATCTTAATCATCCTAAGCATCTAAATCATCACATCAACTCATATAAAGCAATCAAGTCATTCACTGCATTCACAGATTCAAGGTTGCAGACAGTAGCTTCTAGTTTAACTCATAACTAGAGTTGTACTGACCCAAAAGACATGCAATAAGACAATCTAGAAATCTTATGAAATTGGCTATAATTCATATTTAATCATCTCACCATGATTCCCAAGTTAACAAGACGAAACAGGCACATTTATCAAATCGGGTCCAGAAATTCCAGAGAACAATTAGTTCTGAAGACTAACTTTGAACAGTCATAACTCACAAACTATTTGGCCAAATGCCATAGAAATTTAACACAAGATAGATAAGTGAGTTATATACAACTTTGTTATAGACAAGATTCATAGCAAACATCATCTTCACCATGTAATTTGTTTAAATCTAGAATCTATCCAGAAAAGTCACTATAAGTGAATTTTAGGGAAAATAATATTTCACTACATACAAGAATGGTACTTTGAGCACCACCAATGTTACCAACAGTTAACATACCTCAAATGAGCACTAGAAAACATAGTGGCCATTTCTAAATAAATTCTTTTCATGCTTTTATCAATTTATTTAGATAATTAGGTGAAATAATAAACATATAGCAAAAGTGTGCAGTTAATTCCACAAAAATTACAGTAGCTTATACATATCCCCAATAGGCTACTGTTTAAATTTCATATCAATTGAACACGTAGAACATCCTACACAAAAATGACAAGCCAGCAGGGCTTAAAATAGCAAAAATAAGAAATCATATTGAAAAATGTCAAACAACAGAATTCATATTTTTCTTAGCTTCCTCATAACACAAGAACACTGTGCAAAAAGTTTTATGCTCATTGGATACATATTTTTACCATAAAAAATAGCACAAGAATCTAGCATTTATTTAAAATAAATAGGAAACTCCTAATTCCAGAAAGATCACTGTGCAACTAATATTTTTTTCCATGTAGTACATGACAAGACAATACCAACAAAATTAGAATCACATTTTTATCACTTTCCTAGTTCTAGTTATAGATTTTACAAAATTGAAACCATTTAAAAGCATTTATCTAGCTCTATTTTATTCTCCTAGAAAAATACAAGAAATAGTGTATTTCATATTTTTATTAAATAATAGACTTTATGAGGAATCCAACAAAATTTGGTTCACTCAATTTGGACGCTCCTAGCTCTAGATATCATTTTCCAAAGTTAGCACAAAAATCTGGAAAAGAAATACACAAAACCTAACACTACAGACGCTGACACGCGGGACCCAGCAATCAGCGGACCCCACTGGTCAGTCACACAGAGACAGGGCACGGTGGTTGACCGGTGCTAGCTCGCCGACGGTGAACTTTTCGGCGAAACCAACCCC